GCCACCTGATTGTGTAAATTTTGACACTGAACAATCTAGTAATGCAAGTTGTTCTCGTGCTGTTTTGTAGTTTGACCTGTCTAAGATTACTCATAAATTCCATGCTGTGATAACCCAAATTGTGCCTTCCCTTAGGAAGGTCAGGGTTGGACTATGACATAAAACAATGTCTGTTTTAAATGAGAAGGAGCATTAAGGCCAAAAAAAAGGCATTCACTTAGGAAAGATTGAAGAAGATTTTAGCAGGGTAGATAACAAAATCCACATGTAACCTTCTGTTCTAGGCTGTTACGTTGAAGTTGACAATGTTGTAAACAGCTCTAGCAAAATCATGTCGATAGTGCAAGAAGCCTGAACTTCAAAATATTGGCTTGAACGAGAAAATCAGATTTTAGTTCCCAAAGTCTAGATTATACATATAGACAGCAAATAATTCATCTTAAAATGGGTATAACAGTTTGCAAGTAACCCAAATAGGTTTCAAAGAACTTTGAGCCAAGATACAGTTTTAGGCATATGTGAGTTTACCTTAAAAAGCTTGAGGAAGCTTGTTCCCAATATCAACCATAGAAAGCTCCCAAAGTTCCAGAAATCCCAGTTATAATCCACTCTTTGGACTAATCTGAAATGGTTGGAAAAACAACCATGTGAGCTATGAAGCCCAATAAGTATAAGTTACAGCTTAGAGCTGTGGTAGAACTCTTAACCAATTTAAGAAGATTGTTTGGCTAATCCATCATAAGCTTGTAGTTATAATAGAGTACAAAACAGTAGGTTTAGCATAATCAACCTTTCATTGATAATCAATTGAACATCAGGTAGAGACTTATTAATAAGGCTATTAGCAAATAAGCACACTCAATTCATTCTTCAATACTTAATGACAGAAAGTATGTCCAATACCTTATAACCTTAATGACAGAAAATATGCTAGATATATGTGCTCAATACAAATACAATGGCATGGGATCAACTAATCAATATGTGTTTCCCTCACATTCTGCCAGAACTTGTCATAGCATACCCAACTGCACAGTGATCAATCACAATAACAATGGCTGCTTGCTTGAGTACAATGGTACCTAGCTTTTAGCATAGGTCAATGCCCCATTGAAAAACAATGCATTGCACGTTGTATGTGACAATGTTTCTATGCTCTCAATAGAATCTACCTCATTGGTCGTAAGTATCAAAAGTAGTCAATACCGTCCAGTGAATATCAAATAATTATAAACTCGTGCCATTTTTTTCGTAAGCATTCAAGAACAAATAGACAAGATTACATCAAAATAGGCAATTTATATTCATTCATCTTAACCAATGAACCTGATTTGCATATGCAATTAAGATGCATAGAATTATTAGAATACTTCAAATAAAAATCCCCATGTCAGTAGAACCAATTGCATGCTATAAATCTGGTTATTATAACTATTCCATCCCCTTATTACCATTATACAATTGGACTTCCATCTTTATTTCAGTTACACCATAGCTACAACACAATCTATTAGCTTCTACAAGTTTATTTGCTGGTTTATTATATACTTGCTATCTGTAACAACAGCCAAGTATTAAACTTCATCTATTATGTCTACAAGTCATAAACATTCTCAAATACAATAGGTAATTAATTCTAATTCTTAATCTCCACTTGCAAATCAAAAACCCATCATTAATAAACTATATACAGTATTCTAACCCACTCTAACTTGTATTAGCTTAGTTCTAGAGTCATTTTAAACCATGAAAATACCATCTTATATCCAATTAAGCTATAAAAGCAGTAACCTGTCCTTACCACACAAAACCAATTACTGTCCCAAGTGGAATTTCCTTGGATTCCTTCAGTTTCTTCATTGGTTGAACAGCAGCTCCTTAGCTGTTACTTTCCTCTGGGCAGGCTCATAGCACAAAGGTATACCAGTGGAGTGGAAAACACTGTAAAAAGATATAACAGAAGCTGCCCTTCGCAACCCTTTCTTCCTCTCCCTCTCTCTCTCGGTTGTAGGATAGAAAAATGAGAGTAAAGAGTTCTGAAATGTTTAAATCAAAACATGCATCAGACCATAGGTTTTTTGCTAGTGGTTTTCCACCAGTTCCCACGCTACTTTTCTCTTTGTATTAGGACAAGTGTGAAAATGACAAGCTAGTGCTAGTCAAATCAGACTCCACTAAGCAAGTTTTAAGAAATTGGCCATGCAAACACCAATCTTCTTTCTTCTTACAATCAAGTCCCTCCAAGTAAGAACTAACAGGTTTTATTCTATGCATTTGAGGACGGGTTATGACACATGCCCTGTGCCATACTGGTATGTAATCATTCATAGTTAGCTAGAGTTAATAAGTTTACTGGCAGTTGTGAGTGATTGACTTAGAATGGCTGATACAGAAATTTAGATATGCTGATTGTTTCTGATGACCACAATAAATCAAAGTTTTGCTAGATAATGTCCTTCCTCATCCAAATCTTCAAACATTATTTTAGGCTTACCTGTCCAAAATTTATGCTGGCCTGATCGTGTAACAAGGTTTCTCATGTCTATATTTTTCTTGATTGCAGTGGAGAGATAATTAGAAATTTTGGATTTGAAGTAGATAAGAACATGACATCAGTGTTTGGACGTGTCATTGGGCCTCCAACGTTGAAGCTTGCTGGCCCGACTGGAAGAGAGATGCCAATATCAGTTGACAAGGACAGATGCCAGTGGAACATGACTGGAAAAGCGGTGGTGGAGGGCAGACCTATTGAGCGCTGGGCTGTGCTTGACTTTACCGGTACATATAGATGGAATCGAGATCAATTTGTTGGCAAGCTGATTGCTAAGTGCGGAAGCCTAGGGATGAGAATGGGGAACCATCTTTTCTACCGGTCCACAGATATGAATAAACTTTCTAACAGTGACGTGCTTCGTCAACTGCTTGAAAGTGTCTGGAATCAAGCCGAAGGCCGTTTACAGATTCTGATTTGTGTGATGGCCAGGAAGGATGAGGGCTACAAGTATCTCAAGTGGTTCTCTGAAACTAGACTTGGCATGGTGACACAGTGTTGCTTATCCACCAATATTGAACCTAGACCTTACAAGGATACTAAAGTGGACCAGTATCTTTCTAACCTTGCTTTGAAGATAAATGCCAAGATTGGGGGGAGCAATGTGGAGTTGATTGAACGTCTTCCTTACTTTCGAGGTGATGGCTCTGTTATGTTTGTGGGTGCTGATGTTAATCATCCTGCTGCTCACAATAAAACTAGCCCATCAATCGCGGCTGTAGTGGCAACCGTGAATTGGCCTGCTGCAAATCGCTATGCCGCAAGGGTTCGCCCCCAGGAACATCGCAAGGAGAAGATATTACAGTTTGGGGAGATGTGTCTGGAGCTTGTTGGACACTATGCTCGCATAAATGAGGTCAAACCAGAAAAAATTGTGATATTCCGTGACGGTGTAAGTGAAAGTCAGTTTGATATGGTCCTCAATGAAGAGCTGGTAGATCTCAAGAAGGCTTTTCTGGCAGTGGAGTACAATCCGACCATCACTCTTATCGTTGCTCAGAAGCGGCACCAAACACGTTTCTTTCCAGAGAACAGGGCAGACGGGGGCGCTACTGGTAACGTGCCTCCAGGCACGGTCGTGGATACTACAATTGTGCACCCTTTTGAGTTTGACTTCTACCTTTGTAGCCATTATGGAAGCTTGGGTACCAGCAAGCCAACGCACTATCATGTGTTGTGGGATGAGCATCGAATTTCTTCTGATGATCTGCAGAAGCTCATTTACAACATGTGCTTCACCTTCTCACGGTGCACAAAACCGGTATCATTGGTCCCACCAGTGTATTATGCAGACCTTGTTGCATACAGGGGGAGGATGTACCATGAAGCAATGATAAGAGGACGGCTTCCGGGTTCAGCATCATCCTCATCTTCTTCCTCATTGGCATCATCATCTTTTTCTTCTGCAACTTCATTTGATGAGAGGTTCTTCAAGCTGCACACTGATTTGGAGAACGCAATGTTCTTCGTCTGACCTGATCAAAGCCATTGGCCAAATCTCTCCATCAACAATCGGGAATGGGAATGGCTCCTCTCTTTTGTTAAAATGCCCAAAACGCAGGTTTACTCCTTTTTAACTAAAATCCTAGTGAAAGGGGTTTGTGCGTGAATCTAATGGGTGGTGTCTCTGTCTCTCATGGTTTTGTGCAGGCCATGGGAATCTAGGGAAGGGAAAGGTATTTTGCTTAGGACATGCATCAGGTTTGCATTCGATTTTGGTTTCTTTCCTGGTTTGTGTACTTGGAGGAGCTATATGACAATAACCTTATTATGTACTCCTGCTTTTCTGTTATTATAGTTTCTTTGTTTCTGTTATGGCTCCTGAGTCCTGACTGAAGATCTATAAACATATCCTGTCTTTTTATCATTCATATTGTTGCCTGATCTTTCTTCTGCTGTTATGGAACAATGGTCTTCTAAACTTTGCTACGTCCTGTGCTCTAATGCTATGGGGATCTTGTTAAGTGGGAAAATCCCACATCGAGTATAAAAATAAGAAGCTTGTGGATTAAATACAAGGAGGGCTACTCCACCTATTGCCAATTGGTTTTAGGTTGGATGCAAACCTTGTGTTGAGCCCACATGCAGGATTTTCAATATGGTATCAGAGCCCAGGTTCTACTCTGGGAAGCCCGTTGTTAGCCACCTGACAGGACCCGAAGTTGATACCGGGCCTGCATTTAAGGGGGCGTGTTAACCCACGTGACAAGACCCGACATTTATAGTGGGCTGCACGTGAAGGGGCGTGTTAAGTGGGAAAATCCCACATCGAGTATAAAAATAAGAAGCTTGTGGATTAAATACAAGGAGGGCTACTCCACCTATTGCCAATTGGTTTTAGGTTGGATGCAAACCTTGTGTTGAGCCCACATGCAGGATTTTCAATAGATCTCATTTCACTGGAATGTTGCTTCTTATTAGTCTATGCAATACATATATTATATTCTTTTTTGATTGGTAGAAAGAAAGTAAGAAGTGGTGAGTTCGTTGAAGGTAGGGCCATAAACGAGTCTAATGCTAAAACTTGATTTTTCAAGATCCCACTATGTACTAACTCGACCCAAGCTCAGAAGCTTGTTACAGTCAAATTAATCTCCTTGGACATAACCGTAATAACCTTGAGGTTGAAATACAACCTCGTGCCTAACCACTTTGTCCAACTTTAAATTTTCAACAATTGAAGTTGGAGCCAACACATCTCATTATTTAACATATATTTATAATCACAAACTTAATGTGGTACCACTATAGATATTATTTTATTTTATTTTCAGTTAAGGTTTTAGTGATAATTTGTATTTTTATCTATTTTATTTTTAAAAAATAAAAAAATTTAAAATAGGATAAATAATTAAAGTTAAGAAATAATTTTCATAAAAAAGTTGAAAGATAATTATAAGTTTAAATTATGAACAAAAATTATCTCATTTAAAATATGAAAAAAATAAATATTATTTTGAGATAAATTTTAAATGAAAAAAGTTTATTATTTTGGGACAAAGAGGGTACCTATAAAAAAGGCATATTTATGATAAAAATTAAAAGTGTATTTATTGTATTTTTTAGTACTATTTATTTATATGAAAAATATAAAAGTTAACTTTATTTTTTTTTAAATCAATGTACATTATTTTAATTGTGTAATTGATAAAATTAAATTTTAACTTTTATTTTTCTATAAAAATTAATAAAATAAATAAAATAAATACATTATTAACTTGTGTCATACTAGAAAAACCCAATAACAAAAGGAAAATGTGTTTTGCAGATCATTTTCTAAAATTTTTTTTTGAAGAACATATGTAAAAACAAATCTTTTGATTAATATTTTTAAAATTTAACAATTAAATTTAAAGTTTTATTCATATATATTATATATACTAATTCTCAAATTATTTTAATAGGTTTAACAATTTCATTGACTATAAAAAATTTAACACTATTAAATATATGTTTGTCAATAAATAAAGTTTTTTTAATCAAAATGTTATAAATATTAAATTAATATAAAAATTGATATGTATAAATTATATAAATAAATTTTTTATTTTAACTATTAATTTTTAAAAATATTAATTAAAAATTAAAATTTTAAATATGTCTTTTCAAAAAAAGGTTAACAAGAGAGCAAACTTACTCTATACTATTCTCATAACAAAATAAAATAGGACGAAAATAAACAAAGCTAGAATTCAATCCCATTGTAGATGGAAATTGGTGGGAAATAGAGAAATTGGTCGGAAATATGATTCTCAATTTCCCACCACTTTTTCCTCACTCAAATCCAATTTTGCACGTCGAGAAGCTAAAAGACTTAGGACCTGGTTGATAGTACTTTTAGAAGCTTTTGTATTTTTATTTTTGTTATTCATTGAGTAATAAATTTAAATTTTTATTAAAAAAATTTTAATATTACTTTTAAAAATAAAAAAAATGAATAAAAAATAAATAAAAAGAGAGTTCATAAAAAACTTAAATTTAAAATTTTTAAATTTTTACTGCTTAAAATCTTTTTAAAATTAAAAAATTTTTAAAATATAAAATTTTAAAAAAAAATTAAACTTATAAAATATAAATAATATTAAATAAACTAAAACACCTGAAAGCACTACCAAACAGGGCTTACGCTGGTGGATAAGTTGATGGCGTAATATGATGACTTTAGTCAAATATTCGTAACTTAGGATAAGGGGAAATGCAATTTTCATTCGAACTTACCCAATACTCAATTCTGTTTTTCTTGGCGGTTAGTACTTCACGCGTAATGACGTTCAAAAGGAATTCCGTAGAAGGTTCCTACGCTCTCTATTGTTACTTGAGGAGTGCTAGGGGCACTCGCCTCCTGCACTCTCCGGCCAACACTTTCACTTTTATTGGGCCACGTTATTCTGGTTGTGAAGAGGTTGCACCGCAAAGCCCCGAAACACGCTTACGTGGTCCAATGAAAAGGGAAGTGTTGGCCGGAGAGTGCAAAAGGCGAGTGCCCCTAGCACTGCTCTTGTTACTTTGCTTTGCTTGGAAACATCCAGGACTAAGAATTCTCTGGATTCTTACAGAAGCTTCCATGCATTCTACTGTTTAGCCTTGCAGCTCAAGTTCTATCGCTACAGCCCAGTTATAAAACACCCACCAGTTTTTTCAGTTTGTACAGACATTATTCACATTTTTCACGTTTGGGTTTTTTGTTGTCTGTTCTGATCGATGGAGAGAGGTGGTGTTGGCAGCGGTGGCGGCCGTGGCAGAGGTGGAGGTGGAGGTAGAGGTAGAGGAAGAGGAGCTGATCATCATCATAATCAGCAGCAGCGGCAGCAGCAGTGGCAGTCAGGGAGAGGGTCAAGCCAGGGGAGGAGCCAGGGCCATGTGGGTCCTAGCCAAAGTGGATCCCAGAAGAGCCATGTTGGTAGCGGCTATCATTCCGGTAGTGGTGGAGGAATTGGGTCTTGGGGTTCTGGTAGTGGTTGGGGGCGGGGCGCTTCTTTTGCTCAAGTTGTGTCACAGAGGCCCCCTGTTTTTCCTCAACAGGCTCCTGGTATTTGATTTCTATGCTAGTTTCTTAGATTTCTTTGGCTGTGTTTTAATCTTTGCTAGCAGTATATGTGATAGAAGTGAAAAAGGGTACAAAACTAGAATTGGGGATTTAGATTTTGTTTTTCTGCAACTAAGAACACTTAATTCGATTAATTACTTGGTTCTTTATTGAGTTGCAATTAACATTCAAAAATCATCTCTGAGTGGTTCAGTAATGTTCATCATTTGGATTGTTTAAGCCTGTGCAGTATATTTGGTTTTTAGTTCTAGTTGCCAAAAATTTAGCAACTTTAGATTAAAATAGTTTTTCAATTTTGGTTATCAATTTTACAAATTTCAATTCAACAAGTTGTCGGTTTTAATTTTCAATATTGGCTTCTCCTTGTCAATTTTGGTTGATCTAAATTTGACAACCAAAACAAAAAACAGAAACAAGGCCTTATTCTTCCTGTATGGAGAAAGTTTCTTTAGATCTTTTCCCAATGTTGATATTTAGATCTTTAGAGAATTTGGGTTAAGACAAAATATAGTTTTCTTTTCTGTGTGGAAATTTAAGGTAAATGCAATTAATAATTGTTCTGTGTATCCCTTGTTAGATTGATATGAGTTTCACAATTTGTTCACAGATCCTGTTGTTACTGAAATGCAATCATTGACACTCTCACAGCATGCGCCGCCTTCATCTTCATCGCCAGAAAATATAGGTAGACTTGTGCCTATAAAACGATCTGATGTAGGCACTAATGCTATGCGAAAAGTCAGCCTCCGTGCCAATCATTTTCCCATTAATTTCATGGCTGAGAAGATGATATGGCACTATGATGTTGATATCAAGCTACAAAGACCACACGGGAATGGCCGGCCTCCGAAGAAACCACAGTTTAACTTGTCCATGATACGAAACAAGTTATCATTGGATGATCCTATAAACTTTCCCTTGGAAATGACTGCCTATGATGGTAAGAAGAACCTTTTTAGTGTGGTAGAGCTGCCCACTGGTGAATTTACTGTGAAACTGTTTGAGGTTTCATATGTTGTGTCTCTAAAGCTTGTGAATGAACTCAAGTTTTCCAAGGATTATCTAAGTGGGACTGGGAAGGTATTGTCAGTTCCTCGTGATATATTGCAAGCAATGGATTTGGCAATGAAGGAAAATCCGAAAAGGTATGCTACTCAGTTTTCCCATCAAGGGGATGATCTTGGACGTGGCATCATAGCATGCAGGGAACCAAGATATCGGTTGAAGCCTACTTCTCACTGTTTAGCCTTAGTCCTGGACTATTCAGTATTGCCATTTACAAAGCCAATTCCTGTTATAGATTTCTTGAAGCAGTACATTTATGGCTTTAACATCAACGAGTTTCATAGATTTGCTGATCAGGTCAAAGAAGCATTAAAGGAATTGAAAGTTTATAGAACTTATCTTCAATCCAAACAAAGGAATGTGATTGCTGGATTGGCTAATAGTGCTCGACAGATTTCGTTTACAATCACAGATTTGAAAGGCAATGCTCCACCAAGGGATGTTCTCCTTGTTGATTACTTCCGTGATAAATACAACTTGGAAATCAGGTACAAAGATATTCCCTGCTTAGATTTGGGAAGAAACAATTATGTGCCGCTGGAGTTCTGTGTTATAGCTGAAAGACAGAGATATCCAAAAGAGAATCTGGATAAAAATGCAGAAAAGAAGTTGAGGGAATTGTCACTGGCTCCAGCCAAAGTAAGAGAGAAGATAATATGTGAGTTGGTTCGGGCCAAAGATGGACCTTGTGGGTAAGTTCTAGTGAACTTTGCACTTCTTGTTGCCTTGTTATATATGATTGGCTTTAAAGCACTGAATTTAGACAAAATCTAATCATTTAACAAGATGTGATGCTAACAAGTTTTTGTATATTTTACCGTGGTCAGGGGAGGTATTGCACAGAATTTTGGAATTGCAGTTGACATGAATATGACCAAAGTGACAGGCCGTGTAATCAGCCCACCTGAGTTGAAGGTTGGAGTTCCTGGGGGTAGGTGGACAAGGATACAACTCAACAATGAGAAATGCGATTGGAACCTTGTGCAGAAACATGTGGTTGAAGGCAAACTAATTGAGCGGTGGGCTGTGCTTGATTTCACTTGTTCTGAATTCAATTGTCACCAATTCATCACAAAGCTCAATGGTCGCTGTGAAACTCTTGGGATACACATGAAGGAACCTCTTTTATATCAGGCAGCTGCAATGAGTCAATTGAATAATGTCAACAAGATCTCAGAGCTATTGGAAGGCATTAAGGATAGGTCCTATCACAAAGGGAAAGGACATCTGCAATTTATTCTGTGTGTGATGGCTACACAGCATCCTGGTTACAAGTATCTTAAGTGGATCTCTGAGACCAGAGTTGGGATTATCACTCAGTGTTGTTTGTCCACAAACAAAATGAACGATCAGTATCTTGCTCTCCTTGCTATCAATATAAATGCCAAGCTTGGAGGCAGCAATGTTGAGCTCTTAAGACCACTTCCTGGCTTTGAAAGTAAAGGCCATGTAATGTTTGTGGGTGCTGATGTCAATCATCCTGGCTCCAAGAACTCAACAAATCCATCAATAGCAGCAGTGACAGCCTCTATGAACTGGCCTGCCGCAAACCACTATGCAGCACGAGTTCGCCCTCAAGATCCTCGAACAGAGAAGATTCAGGATTTTAAGGAAATGTGTTTGGAGCATCTTGAAGCTTATGTGAAGCTGAATAAAGTCAGGCCAGACAAAATTATGATATTTCGGGATGGTGTTAGTGAAGGCCAATTTGATATGGTTCTTAATGAGGAGCTAAGTGGACTCAAGGGAGCATTTCGATCAATGAATTATTTCCCAACAATCACACTTGTAGTGGCTCAGAAGCGACACCTAACTCGCTTCTTTCCAGAGACCAAGGAAGATGGGAATTCCAAAGGAAATGTGCCTACAGGAACTGTTGTAGACACAATAGTTGATGATTTTTCCAGGTTTAATTTCTATCTTTGCAGCCATTTTGGTAGCATTGGGACTAGCAAGCCAACGCATTACCAAGTCCTCTGGGATGAGCATGGCTTTACTAGTGATGGCATACAGCAGCTTATATATAGCATGTGTTTTACTTCTGCTCAGTGCACCAAACCTATCTCATTGATCCCACCAGTATACTATGCTGACTTGGCTGCATATAGAGGCCGACTTTACCAGGAAGCATTGATGGACTGGCATTCTCGAGCTTCACCAGCATCTTCGTCATCTTCGTCATCTCAATCAAACACAGCTGCATTTGACAAGGGTTTGTACAAGCTGTGTGCAAACCTAGAGAATGCAATGTTCTTCATTTGAAAGGCCTCTTAGAACTGCTCATAAACTCCTTTCCTATCTGTGCTACTAAAGGGGTTTGTGCGTGAATCTAATTTGGTTTTGAGTCATAAACTACATGTGGTATTTCACATGTTCTTGCATCCATCATGGTTGTAGAAGCCATGGGATGTAGAGGTGTTCTCTTTTTAGTTTACTTGTTTGCCTGCTTTATCTATGGAGTTTGTGTGCGAACCTGATGATGTATAAAGGTTCATGTAGTATTTTCCGTGTAAGTATCTCTTCTCCTGTTAGCTTGGCTCAGGGAGAGGGTACAATGTCTCTGTTACAATTATATGAATAAATGCAAAGCTTTCTGTATGGTTATGTTTGATTGACCTTAGCATACTTATGATTCTGGGATACAAATTTAAATCGGAATCATTGTTTGAATATACATGACCTGGATGCAGAAATGCTTCCAAGTTTAGACCAGACATTGGTGAGGCTGTTTTCCATGAAAATATTGGACGGGTCTAGTTTACTTCAGTTGCTCATTGGAAAGACTCCTTGCAGAAACCCATGTTGTTGGATTCATGTGATGCCATTAGAATTCAAACATCTATTACCCTGCTAACCATGTACCAAATCCCAGAAAGGCAGTGAGAGATTTGCAGAATCTTGGATAAGATTTAAGGTAATCAAGTCTGGTCAATCCAAATGACCCCTAGATGCCATGGATACTATTCTGTGATAACCCTAGTGTGAAGGGAAATTGAGGAAGTGGTTTCAATTTTGTAATTAGTACAATTTCTTTTCAAACTCTTAAGAAATGGTCTAATTAATAAGAACTTAAGATTTTATTAAGTTAAAACGATATTGTTAATTTAAAAAATAAAAGCAGGACCCCACCTCCAAACAGAGAAAGGACTAAAGATTTGAACCTTGGCGTTGCTAACACATCATATCCATCTCTTAAGTGCATTTACATTGAGGAATATCTTAATTCCCCACTAAAGTCCTGAGAACAATATGTCTAATTTCTTCTGAAGAGAATGGAAAAGAGAAAGAGGAAGCTCAAACCACGTCGGATCAGGGCCTAGCCAGCAATCATTAGGCCTAAAGCTTGAATATTTTTGGACCGTTGGTATTGCAAGGTACCCAATAAACGTAGCATGTTGAAAACTTACCCCTTAAGTCTATGCCAGATGTCGCATTACCAATCTTTACCACTTGAGTCAATACGTAGTTCGTTCATTGTTTAGAAGTTTAGTCCTAATATAATAATTTCTAATAATAAAGTCTTTTAATTTTTTTACTCGACATAAATGATTTATTTTTAACTAAAATATGATGTCAGGAAATTCACATTATAAATACATGTGCCCCTGTTGTGGCTGGAACATAGCTTGGAAAAAGAGAGGGAATAGAACCTCACAAAGTTGTAATCTCATGGATCTTTCCAGGAAGTTGCCTTTGGCAGTGAAAAGGGGAGGTGGGGTATGTAAAGCAGAAAATAAGGAGCACAACTTTTATTCTTCCAGTCTATGAAGACAATTTACTTGGAACATATCTTGGTATTCTTAATCTAATAAAATATACAAATCCTTTCTTGGCTATATATAAATTGCCTTGGTGAAATAGTTTTGTTGTTTTTAAACATTTTCATAGGCTATAAATTGCCTTCTGATTGCATTAATTAACAGAGAAGTGTTATTTTATAAATTAGATTTAAAATTAAAGTTTGAAGATAATACTTAAACAAATTTTAAACTCTTCAAGTACTTCATGTTAATGTAAAGATACATCTTTAAAATAACTTAAGAAGATATTACCTTGAGAAATGTAAGTTAATTTAGAGACATTCTAACCGTTAAAATAAAAAAAATAATAATAATCACATTCAAATGATTTTTTAAAATCTAATGATATATTAAGTTTTTTCCGCATAAATATGTGATTCTTTTAAATATGAAAGACAAAAAACTATAATCTTAACGCATCTGATTCTTTGAGTCAAGTGGTTTTAACTACCTTGAGATGCATTCTCCTTTTTCTTTGGGCAAGATTCGAATCCGTCTTATGACATCTTGTTCAAAAAAAAAAAATAGAAAACTATGATCTTAACTTTCATATTGTTACTGTTAGCAGCACTTAATGACTCTTAATCTTAAAGTTGGAGTAAATAATAAGAAATTTAGAAACTCAAGTCTTAAAGGATTATAATATAAAAAAAAAACTTCCAAATTTCCTAGAATACAAACGTAAAAAATTATGGTCAATTAAGTCCCATACAACCACTTTGAATAAGAAGAATCTTGTGCACACCAAACCGGTTTAATTTTCATGTGAATGCAAGAAAACTAAGAGGAGGATTGGCCGGAATTGGAAAAGAAAATGTGAACTGCGTGAAATGAACCATTTTTGAGAAAACCAAGACTCCAGAAAGTCAATTGCCATTAGAAAATTCAATGGAAGATGAGATAACGGAAAGTATTTTTAAAATCGCGGTAATATAAGAGTAATTTATTATTATTTTTTATATAATTTTTATATGTTATTAAATAAATAAATAAATTTAATATTATAAATTTTAAATAAAT